GGCTGGCCTCCTCGTTATTTCTTCTGTGATTCCCCTGGTCTGTTGAGACGTAGGGGCCGAATACTCGCATCTATCTCAACGGCTCTCCTTTGAGTTGTTACTTCTTCTGAGGCGTTTGGTCAGTGCGTGAGCTCCTGCTCGTGTGATGTGCAAGAGACGGTTGGTTTTGTGTTGCCTCAGTCCCCATACTCCCACATCCAATTGCCTTTGCAGCCTGTTTGTGTACCCATACAGCCTCTCCTCCATGCCCTTAGCAGTCGTATGCCGTGGTACTGCATACTTACTTCGTGGCATACCATACGTTGCTCCCGTCACAGGGTTTAGGGTATCCAAGAGCTGTTGGTTCGGGCCACTCCTTCCCTCATCCCACCACCTCTTGACATAGATGCTGCAGCAGTCGTTTAAACTACTTCGGCGCCAGTGCACCGCTGGTAGTCGCAGCTTCGACTACTCCGTCCGACGCTTCATTGAATAGAGAATTATCCTGTACTATCTGCACTGCAAACTCCTAGTCTGCCTCGCCTGCGTTCATCCATGCGATCGCACTGAGGAGAGGGCGCTGCGTGGCTGCAAAGGCGCTCGTACAGTCGTAGTTCGTAGTCACCGCACTCACCCCCCATGTGTGGCTCTCAGTTGCGCCGCCTGTACACACCAAAATATTGCATTCTTGCGTGAACTGTGTGCCAGTCCTGGTTGTGCCCAAGGTGGGTATTCTTCGTCAAGTATCCTCTGTGGGTGGTATCCCAGAATGCCACGGCATGCTCTTCTCGCAGTGCGCGTGCATGATTATCATCCCTGCTACTCCTTCCTTGCGGTTTCCGTTATCTGCTAACAAGGAAAGAGATTTGTGCCAGTCCAGTGGTGTTTTCCTGCAGCTGCGTATGTGCCGTAGCAATCGATCTAGATCTTCCTCCGATTCCGTAGTTGTCCAGTTCCCAGTCCTGCTCTTCGTGCCCTGCCCACTGCGTATGATTTCACATCGTACGGTATCACACCGTTTGGTGTTATCGTCCCTCCTCTTCCCTCCTTCTGTCCGAGCCTCTTAGGAAGTTCTCTCCCTCTGCGGTACTTCGCAATCGACGTTAACTTGGCCAGCTCTTCCTCCTCCTCCTCCTTTCTCCTTTGCTCTACCTTGTCACTCATGTCGCTCGAGTCTGTCAAGTTGTGTGTCGTATCCAATGGTGACCACACTGTTTCTGTCGAGAGGCCCCATGGTGGCCAGGCACGTCTCCTGTTAGCTCGTCGGCAATATCTGGTCATGGCCTGCTTATTTATCTCCTTCCATCTGCTGTCGCAATTCCGCGTCTACTGGTAGTAGGAGGTATTTCTCCGCTGCTCCTCGTCTTCATTCTTTTCTACGCTCTGTCCAGAGGCTCGGCATCAAGACACCCCATTCAGTGCCGGTGTGTTCAAGTCTTGGCACCAGAAACCTCAATTCCAGAAGGTCCGTCGGCAGTAGTAATACCGCTGCTTAGGTCCCCTCCCAGATCATTGATGTTATATTTGTAGCTTGTGTACGTCGCTGAAGTTGGGTGTTTGGCGAGTATGCTGTATTTGTACCAGTAGTTGCACAGACACTTTTTCAATAGCTCTAGTATCTCCCCGAGCTCCGGCTCTCTCATTCCTTCTACCAGCTGTTCCCTCAGTTTCCGTTGTTTGTCTAACCATAGTCGTCGCATCTGTTTTTGCTTTCTGGACCGGGAAAGACGAAACCATTGCTCGACCAAACTGCTTCACCGTACAGGTCCCATCCTGCATCCGCCGTCGCACGTTGCCGTGCATGTCCTCATTGCTCCTGCCCCACCCTCCAGATCTCGACATCGACCTACGGGAAGAAATCCTTTCAAGAATACCTTGTTCGCACGCATTGCGGGAGCGCGTCTCTGTCCACCGCTGGGTGGGTAAATGGCGGGCGTCGGCGCTCGCGGGAAGTGGGGGTAGAAGGGAGAGAGTTCTCGATGGCTACTGGCAGGTGATCCCTCGTTCCTCTGGCTCTGAGATTTTGTTGTCTCTGAGCTGCTCTCGGGATTACTAGGCATCTTTGCACAAGCCCCGTTGCTGTCGGCACCGCAAGATGGTCCAGTAGGTCCGTTGTGTCCTGTAGGTCTGTTGTAAGTCGCCCCCATCTGCACACAGGTCGTTACTACTGTGAGGTGGCTGTTCCGATGCTTGCCCCTAGGTTTTTGATTGCAAGCCCTTCTCCGAGTCTGTGTATTCCGAAGTCGCTCTTAATGTCCCCTCCCACCAGAATTATAGTACGACTTCCCAGCCAGCATGAGGTGCGATCTGCTGCTTCCGCAACATCCTTTTTCATGGGTAGGACAGTGGTACGCAACGAACAACGCAACATAGTTTGTGGCTGCTCTTTTATGTGTATAGCCGATACGTTGCCCTGTATATTAGTAGACGGCAGTCGTAAACGCAATCTTTATGTTTTTGGTTGCGTACACGTGCGATACCACTATTGCTGTGTCGCATGTTACACTCGTGTGCTTGCCGTTGCGCACGCCCATCTGTATCCCCAAAGGGTAGGGTAGGAGAGTGCGCTGCGCAAGTTCGGGTCCACTCCATTTGTGCGTACCTGCTAGCAGTACCACGTCCACCTGCTCAAGATCCTGGCTGATTTCTTCCAACCTCTCCGTTCTGCTGTCCGCTAGTGGTCAGGAGGAGGGAACACACAGAGACACAGACAATCGCCGATGCCCAGGAACACATGGAACAGCTGGGAAGCGGAGGCGAAGACTAGCGTCCGAAAATATCAAGACGTGTAGGGAATGTTGGGATGTGTGTCTATTTATGTGTGTGTGAGAGTGTGTCCCGGGCCCCTGCAGGTGGGTTGTACCAGCATGCGGCCATCAGCACGGTCAGCAGCAGCAGCGCGCAGCCCATGGCCCCCCCCCTCCTCCCCCCTGCCTCGGGCCGAGAGCGGGCCCCTGCAAGTCGATGGTGTACATGACTGCACTCTTCGTACGGTCGGCTCAGCCATGCTCGAGCTCTGCACGCCGACTAGGAGGAGGAGGAGGAGGAGGAGGAGGAGGAGGAGGAGGAGGAGAGCGGAGCACCGGGAGGAGCAAGGGGATGGGGGGGGCGCAGGGGTCGATGCTCCCCTTCCTCCATCTGCTGCTGCTCCCTCACCTCCTGCCTCATCCACACTCTCTCTTCCCTCCCGTCCCTCTTTTCCCACGCGTCTTTCCACATTTCACGTCCCTTGTCTATCCTCCATCGTCCCTCGCCTCACTCCTCATCCCGATTTCATCTACCCTCGTCCTCCCTCCATCCTGGCTCCTATCTTCTCACACCTTCTCCCCCTGAGTCATCCTTGCTATCTCCTCCCCCTCCTTTCTTCCCCCCAGTGCTGATGATGATTGTGATTGGGATGTTTAAGAGGGAGTGCATGTGAAGGAGGAGGAGGAGAAGGAGCAAGAGTAATATCGAGGATGAGGGGAAGGAGGAGGCGGAAGATGAAGCGGGAAAAGGGGATGACAATGAGGGGGAGGGGGAACAGTACTGGAGGGAGGGAGGAGGGATGCCGTGCTCGGAGGAGGGCGTTCCGCAAAGGTTCCGTACGACCATATCGTGGCTCTTGTTGTGGCTCTCTCGCATCGGGCGGTCGGCGAAGTCGTCGCACCTTGGGGTGAACCATGGCCTAGGGAGGAGCTGCGGTCGCAATGTTAAGCCCAGGGAGGAGGGAGATGAAGGTGGCGGGAGGGCAGGGATGGGGATCTGCATCGGAAAGGGGGAGATGGAGAGTATGCAGATGAGGGAACTGCGGTGGAGGGGTTGGAGGTGGAAGTGGGTACCGAGGGTGATCGGCTAGTCCTTCCTTGTTGTCCTCATTCTTCCCTTTTCTATATTATCTCTCTCTCTGTCTCTCTAGGTCTCTCTTTGGTCATGTCTCTCTCTGTCTCTCTCTATCCATCTCTCTCTCTCTCTCGCCCTCTCTTTTCTTTCTCCCTCACCCCATCTGTCCGCTCACTCCCTCATTCTCCTTCTCCTCATTGTCCTCCACCCGGTTTCCTCTCAAGTCCCCATTAACACCCCACCCGACGTGCATTTCGACTGGTTCCCCGCACTTCATGACCCCGAAGCGTGAAAACACTAAACGCGGCACGGGTGGAGCGCATTTCATGTGGCTGTCGCGTTCGCGCCGCCCACATCAGTCCCAAGCACATCCAGCTGTCATGCTGGCCGAGAGCGATTCCTTCTCATAACTCGGTTCTCGATTGAGATGTCCTCTTGCGTTACGTACACCGCAACGGTTACGCGGATGGAAGAGTGGCTGCTATATGGGTCCCCTGTTGCTTGAGACAGCCAGTATCCTGAATTTGAGGCACCGGCACGTGCAACAGCTAATATGGCTAACCGAGGGCTGGTCCTTTTCAACGTTGTTTTCGCTTGGCGCTGTCTTGAAATGCATGCTCCTTCACGATGGTATGCTTAGTGATTGCAGCGATGGTGAAAGTGGGGAGACCTTTCTAACGAGGGGCTTTATCCTGCGTGGCACGCCCACGGTGCCCACGGGGCGCTCGTCTTCGAGGGGGCGCTCCCCGTACTGAACCGGAAATTGCACAGGGACTTATGAGGAGGAGGAGGAGGAGGAGGAGGAGGAGGAGGAGGACGAGGAGGAGGCTTGGGACGGGGCGGTATGTTGCAGTGTAACTTGGGTTTGCTATGGTTCTCCTCCGCCTCCCTCCTCCCTTCCTCCCCGCCCCATGACCCTTCTCTTTTCCCTGCTCCCTGCTCCTCCTTCCTCCTCCTCTCCTGTCCTTCTCACCCCCTTCTTCTCCGTGGCTGTTCGCTCTCGGCCTGAGTCCCGAGTCCTTCTCTTTCTCCTCTTCGTCTTCCGTCTCCTCCCCATCCACCCTCTCCAGAAACCAAGCGAAAGCATCACCAGCACCGCCAAACACCTCCAGAGCGCCTGGTCAAGTGGCTGCAGCGCGCGTGTCGAGCGATGCCGCGCGCGCTGCGGACTAGGGGACCCAATGGGGCCCTCCGCCGAGGCCCGGACCGAGGCACGGGCGCGAGGCGTGAGGCCGGCCGCGTCGGCAGCGCTTGACGCAGCCTGTGCAGAAGCCTCGTCTGGCAGCCGGGCCCTGTTCCTGTCTCTCCAGGCCTCCGCGAAGGGGTCCGAGCAGTGATGGGGTCGACGGATCGCGCCGCATCGGCGATGCATCGCCGATACATCGCCGACGCATCGTCGATGCATCGGCGACGTTTGCAATGAATCGGTGACGTCGGCGCGAAGAAGTTGGGCTCAACGTCGAGCCGCATCGCTGATGCATCGGCGATACGGCGCGATCCTCCGACATGATCTACTCGGACTCCATCTAGGAGACCTCTGGTACAGTAGCCCAGCCTGGCAGCTGGACTCTGTATGTGTCTCGCCCCGCGCATCTGGTCGTCGTGGAAACAGCGCGACGGCCGTTGCGGCTATGCTTCGGACCCTGGGGCTCTCGCGGATCGCCACGCCAGCGTCGGATATGAGGGTCTACTCCTGTCTCGTGCCTGAGGGTGGCAGAACACCGGAGAGTGGGACAGCGGGAGCGGGTCGATGATCGCGGGGGACGTGGGCGTACGAGGGGCGGGATGATGTTGCTCGATGCTGGTCGTTTATCGCTTTTCCTGAGCGGAGCGAGGGCTGCGAGCAGCGGCCTGCGCTCCACACTGCCGCTTGAGACGTGGCTCCGTTGCGCGCGCGCGTGTGTGTGTGTGTGTGTGTGTGTGTGTGTGTGTGTGTGTGTGTGTGTGTGTGTGTGTGTGTGTGTGTGTGTGTGTGTGTGTGCGCGCGTGCTTGCGTGCGTGCGTTCGTGCGTGTGTGTGTGTGTGTGTGTGTATGTGTGTGTGCGTGTGTGTGTGTGTATGCGTGTAAAGAGTCCCGAGCCGAGGACATTGAGGATGCTGAGATGATCTTGCTGGCAGTGATGATGGCGATGCTAATGACGGTGACGATGATGCTGGCGATGGGGAGATGACCCCCCATGGACAGATCATTTTCTTTGGTTTGACGGCGGAGGGTGGAATCGAAAATGCTGCTTGGCCCAAACAACTGCCACCCATACATTGCCTTCACAAGACCATTGCGGGCAAGCTGTGGCAGTGGGATAAGCGAGAAGTTCTGCGCCGACGCAAGCTCGCGCCGAGCGGACGCAGCGCCGGATTGGACGAAGGCCCATTTCAGGCTCCAATCTAGGCTGCCTCCCGTCGCACTCAGAGAGGCCAGGGAAGCTTGACCGCTGGCATCTTTTGCACGCGTTGTCTCCCGAGCCGCGAAAGTACATTCTAGAACGGCGGAACGAATTCTAGAACGCAAAACAAAGTTCTAGAACACCCACCACGTGCGGTCTAGATACACTCAAGGCGTGTCAGAATACGAAACGAATTCTTAAATTCCATATAGCATCAAACGTATACAAACCATAGCTCCTACAACCTGCTGGATAAAACAAATGGGCTGCAGAGGTCGCGTAAGATGGGCATCGAGGTTCCCGTTCGGCCCCAGGGCCCCAGTACAATGTTACAGAGACCAGCCCAGGGACTCGGGTCGCTCAGGAAGGCGACCGGAGAGTGTTCTTGGAGGAAGTGTTGGGTGGAATCGCGATTCTCCACTTCCTCCATCCTCCCTTTAAATTTTATAATCGCCAAATGGGGTGAGAACCAGAGAATCGCGATTCTACCCAATATTTCCTCCAAAACACTCTCCAGTCTCCTTCCTAAGCGACTGGATCATTTTTCTGGCCGCGACCTGCGTTGTCGAGGGTGAATTTCTCTGGGGAAGCAAATCCGGTCTGTTTTCACGCTTTCGGAGATTTGCTCCAGTCCGCGCTTTTTAATACAGGGAGGTGTAAAACGCCAAACGAATTCTATCACGAGCACATGTATCCTTGAACGCAAAGAATTTAGAATTCTGGATATACTTGTCGGGCCTTTTCGCTTGCTCCTTCACCTGACCAGCGCCATTGCCGTGCTTGTCCACCTGCCGGGCGCCAGACGCGCACTCCCAGACCGTGGAAGGGCTCAATAAGACCACGGAGGCAATTCACGAATTTACCCCCACCGGGGAGCGCAGCACTGGCGCAGAAATGCAAGCCCGACGCTGCGCGTACGGATGCCGATGCTCCACGCGAGATTCATCTGGCACGTCACCGGACCAGAGGTGCAAAAGCCCACATGGATTTCACCCGAAGTCCTGCACCCAAAGAACGTGTTCATCTGGAGCAGTCTGAAGGGGTTATCCGAATATTGCGCGCCATGCTCTCCTGTTGCGCTCCGGGTCGGCCACCCCCCGGGTGGAGCCCAGACGGGCCAGTCGCCTTTTGTGGAGGTTCGAGCAGCCTCTCGCGACGCAGTGCGATGATTTGCAGGAAAGTGATGTTGATGACGTGAGATCTCAATCATCGAACCATTGTCCATTATTGTTGGACCTCCCCCCCAGGCGCCGTGGCGCTCTCGCCTCGGCGCCGGCTACATGTTGTTTTAAAGGGAGGCCTACGCTCAAGCATGTCGGGTTCAGCCGAACACGGCCCCCCATCACGAAGAACGCTCCCGCTTGACACGTCCTCCCTTCTACTTAGGGCTGGTGCTTTTGATTGCCGCCAGAAGCTTTCCACGTTTTCTGCTTAGAAGTGGGACTCTCGCCGCGGCGCTGCAAACCAGCCCACCTTCAATAGCAGCGCCTCCACTCAATACGTCCTCCCTTTGAGTTCAGGAGTGGCGATTCTGCGAGTGGTCTCACAATACCAGCGCTCCCGTTGGATGCTTCCTCGATCTTTCCTCAGGATTGGCGCGCTTGCTGTGGTGTTGCAAACCAGGCTACCTACAACAGCAGCGTTCCCGCTCGAGATGGATTCTCATGATACTTTGGGATGGCGTTCTTGCTGGCCGTTTGAATAAAGCCCTCTAGCATACACGAGCTCTCACCTTCCGTCGCCATTTTGGCTGCAATCATTTTGGCTCAAGATTTGGGTCCAGTGTAATCAAGTTCAAGACGTGCGAGACGAGTTGCCATAGTGCATCTATGAGATGGGTTTTGCTCCGCAAGACCAGTTTCCATGCAGCTCCTGCAGGGCTTACGGTGTCAAAAGGGTTTGCCGACCCGGCGTGTTCCGCTTGTTGTATCGGCTTGCTCACTGATGGTGATAACTACTGCCCTTCCCACTGGCCATTCTTGATGGACGCCATCAGCCGTAAAGGTCAGTTGGCACATATCGTTGTACTCGCTTCCCCGTAGAGCGGGATCAAGTGGACGTCATCGTTGGATGTGATTGACGCTAAGTTCATGTATGTGTGTGTCACGTGAGACAGGTGGCATCAAAGATCCGAATGCCATTGCCATTGTCATGGAGGCATCCAGACGAATTGGGCAAGACAAGGTTCATGCAATTGGCATGGTTGTTCATGACATTGCTTTACGGGCGCAACCCGTAGTCTGATTTTCTGATAGTAGACAGAACTGATTGACACGATTGACTGAGAAAACTGAACCGAATCACGAAAGCCGTTAGATGGCAGTTTTATTTCTGGGGGTGAGGATATTTCGTTGGCAGTTGTAAGTCAGGGGGTCGAGGATATCTCGCTGCCAGTTTTAGGCCAGGGGGGGAGGATATTTCGCTGGCAACTTTAAGCGAGGGGTGTGGGGGCATTTCGCTGGCAGCTTTAGGCCAAGGGGTGAGGATATTCGGTGGAAGTTTTTAAGCGAAGGGTGTGGGGATCTTTCGCTGGCAGTTTGAAGTCAGGAGGTGGAGGCCATCTCGCTGGCAGTTTTAAGCCAGGGGGTTGAGGATATTTCACTGGCAGTTTCAGGCCAGGGGCGATGAGGATATTCCGCTGGCAGTTTCAAGCGAGGGGTGTGAGGATATTTCGCTGGCAGTTTTGAGCGAGGGGTGTGGGGATATGGCGCTGGCAGTTTTAAGCCAGGGGGTGAGGATATTTCGCTGGCAGTTTTTAAGCGAGGGATGTGAGGATAGTTCGCTGGCAGTTTGAAGCGAGGTGTGTGGAGATATGGCGGTGGCAGTTTTAAGCCAGGGGGTGAGGATATTTCGCTTGCAGTTTTTGAGCGAGGCCTTTGAGGATATTTCGCTGGCAGTTTTGAGCGAGGGGTGTGGGGATATGGCGCTGGCTGTTTTAAGCCAGGGGGTGAGGATATTCCGCTGGCAGTTTTTAAGCGAGGGATGCGAGGATATGTCGCTGACAGTTTTAAGGCCAGAGGTGGAGGATATTTCGCTGGCAGTTTCAAGCGATGGGTGCGAGGATAAGTCGCTGGCAGTTTTAGGCCAGGTAGTTGAGCGGCGGTTGAGGATATTTCGCTTGCAGTTTAAAGTTCAGGGTTGTAAGGATATTTAGCTGACAAATTTAGGCCAGGGGCGGTGAGGATATTTCGCTGGCAGTTTCAAGCGAGGGATGTGAGGATATTTCGCTGGCAGGTTTGAGCGAGGGGTGTGGGGATATGGCGCTGGCAGTTTGAAGGCCGGGCGGTAAGAACATTTCCCAGACGCAACCAACCAGCACCATGCGCCACTCCCGGGACGACGGGGGGGGATGGGTGATAGGGACGACAGAGGACGGGGACCAAGAGGGGGTGGCGAAAGGGGGGGTCGGAGGTAGGGACTGAGAGGAGTCGTGGTCGGTGCGGGCATCCACGCGCCACGCGATGCAGTGTTGGGTCTTGCCGTGGCTGGCCCAGCCGAAGGCTACGCATGCAGCGCGGTGCTGCGCCCGATATATACTCGCCCCTTGGCGCGGGGCTGGCGGGGGGCCAAGGGGCGAGCTGTCTGGTGTTCTCTTGTACCTGGCCTCTCGTTTACATCAGTGGCATTTGTTCCTGAGGGACCTCTTGAAGCACTCCCTAACGCATTCATTCGAACGAGAACAGGCTGATGTATTGCGGGTGAAGCCGGCAACTCGCGATTCACGCATGCTTAAGATGAAGGTTGTCCTGCGTCTTGATGGATTTGGCACTGTGGCAACATGTGATGGGCTTGCGGCATGCGTGCGGAATTCTGGAAGTGTGTGCGCCGAGTTGCGCAGTCTCAATTGCTTGCAGCATGACGACGGTTCCATAGTTCCTGCGCTTGAAAAAGGTCTTCGTTGCAAGCGGTACCCGTCCTGATATTGTTTGACCGCAGCAATGCCCCATAGAGGAAATGTGGTCCTTGCGAGAGAAGGGTGTGAGCACGCCTTGGGTTCGGAATCCTGGGGACCTTGTTTTCGTTCTCCCAGTTGTTCAACAGTCAGTTCCAAGACGAAATTCGATAAGTATGCTTCCTAGAGGTGCAGCATGGTGGCAAAAGTTGGTGGACCATTTGTTATCCACAGTTGTAGCGAATTGCCAGATGTCATCTGTAAACGGTTGGGGTACCTTGACATTCAATTCAATCCTGATGTCGGGAATGTTGCGAGCGTGTTCTGCTCCACGACGCTAAACGAGTACGCCCTCAAGTCACAGGACTTCTCAATGCCTGAGCATGCTGACGTTCATTCAAAACGGGCTCTCCGTCATGGCGCATTCGCATCTCCAAAATTCTCATTGCAATTGGCAAGTGGCCCCTCGGGATGCACGGGTTCTTGTTTGGATTAGGTCCCAGAGCTTGACAAGTAAGGAAGCAAAGCCAGGTCATGTCATGATGACGTTGCACAAATGGATCATTGAAAAGGGGTTTGAAGCTTATGAAAACCTAGAACGGGTTGCTATTCCAGTTGATGAAGCAGTGGCAGGAGAGCGATCCATCGAGACACTCTTGAATCCCAAGCATGACAGCGATCTGGGCATAACCGATGGCATTATTCCATACACCTTTGGTATGTCGGCGTGTGCGCTTCGAAGCTGTTACCGAATGCATACCGTACGCAGCGCTACCATAGCACAACACATCGGAACTAGAGCCGTACAGCCAACACAAAACTTAAACCAGCTGTCCGCGTGATACGTCCCCGTTTCTCGTTCAGTAATGTGGCCCTCGTCTCGGCATCGCCTCTAGAGGGCACCTGGGCGGCTTCAGGAAAGCCCGACAAGGTCACAGCAACGGCTCACAAGAGGCCCCGAAGAGTTGCCGATCGAGTCCCATGGGCGCCCCACGAGGTCTTTGGACGGCCCAAGAGAGCAACAGGACACCCCGAGAAGGCGCCAAGACTGCCCGAGGATCCCCCGAAGAGCCCCTACACACTCTCACACACAACACACACAAACACAAACACACACACACACACACATACACATACACACACACACACACACACGCACGCGCACGCGCACCCGCGCACGCACGCGCACACGCACACGCACACGCATACGCACTCGCACACAGGCACAGACACAGACAAATACATACATACAGACACAGACACAGACACCGACACAGACATATTCAGGCACGGACACGCACACACACAGCCCAGGAAGGCACCAGAAACTCCCAAGAGGCTTCAGACGTTTCCAGCAGCTCCCAGAGTAGCCCCGAACGTCCTCATCGATCCCCACATATTCCATTCAATGCTCCTCGTCCCCTGTTTCTTCTTGTAAGGTGGGTTTATTGTAGTCTTCCCCGCGCGATCCCCACCAACTAACGCATCGGAATCCGCGAGGTCGGTTCATTACCGCTTCCCAGATCTGAGTTTCTTTTCCTCTTAATGGGTGATGCGATCTGAAGGTCGTGAAGTTCCTCGGGGGAGGTGTTTGCTGGATCCCCTTGGGCGACAGATCTTATCGAGGGGATATCTCCCCCCCGATACATGAGATAATTGTTAACGTCTCGCGCCTCCTCAGCAGCCCATTCAGACACGATGCCCAGACAGAAGACAGTCGCTAAACGAAAGCAGGCATCATTGGGAACTCTCTTGGAAGAGCTGGTCCCTTGAAATTCAGTTAATTGCCCCGGTGGGCGTCTGGGGGGCATCTTTGGGGGGGCCTCTTGGGACCATCTTGGAGCCTCCTTGAGGGTCTCTCGGGGCCCTCTTGGGGGCCCTGGGGGCCCTCGTGGGCCAAGCCTGAAAGACATCGATCAAAGAGAAGGGGGCCTGAATTAGCGGTGCCTCTGTTGAGTCCCCACCGTCGTCTATTGGGGCTTTCGTGGGGCGCTCTTGGGTCATTCTTGGGCGCTCTTAGGGCCGTCTTGGAAGCCCTCTGGGCCCCACTTGAGTTTCTCTTGGGCCATCTTAGAGCCATCTTGAGGCCTCGAAAGGCCGTCGGAAACGAATGGCGAAGAAGGCGAAGCTCATTGACTTCCCTTGGGTATTGCACGATTTTAGCCTTTGGGGAGGTGGTGTGGAGCCCCCGAGGCCACTTGGCCCCGTCTTAGAGCGGTCCCGACATCCCTTGGATCGTGTTGGAAGCCATCTTGGACCAATCTTGGACTATCTTGGCCCTCTGACCGCTCGCCGCAGCCCGCGCCGCAGCCCTGTCCAGACCTAGGGGGAGGGGGAAGGGAAAGGCGTGAAGTTCCAGGGGGGAACGCCGCAAGCTGTCTCGCTCACCCCCAACCACCTTCCCACTCCATATGTAGCACACGCGTCTCAGCATAGGCAGGAGCCGCCATCGACACATCGGGAACCAATGAGGACGCCAGCCAGGAACGCGACGTCGGCGAGATGCGCCACACATGCCAGGTGCGCCACGCGCACCAGGTGTGCCACATTGGGTAATCACACCTCAGAAAACCCAATCAGTGGATGAATTGAAAATTAGTCATATGGATCTTGAGATCGATTGTGAGATCGAAAATGAGATCGATAGTAGAATCGATAGTTGACGATTGTAAGGTCGATCGTGAGACTGAGAGTGAAATCGATTCAATGAGATCGATAGAGAGAGATCGATCGCGAGATCGCTCGTGCGATCTCTGGTGAGATCGCTTGCGAGATCGATTGTGAGATCGATTGTGAGATCGATGGTGAGATCGGTAGAGAGGTGGGAAATGAGATCGATGCTGAGACCGATCGATAAGAAGATCGACCAGGAACCCGGGAACCTGGGAACCTCGCCGCCCACCGAAGTCGGCCCGGGAACCGGGAACCCGGGAACCCGGAACCGGGAACCCGGGAACCCGGTTTGCCACCAAAATCGGCGTCAAACATTCGCTTTCTCTTTCAATATCCGCTAGGACCCCTTCAGTGCGAGCAATGATTGGGGAATAGGCCGACCTTAACTAATTCGAAGTGACGGCGGTTTTCCCGGTAGTGTGTATTGTGCTTGCTTGTGCACCCACAAGCACTTCGCACTTGTCCTTGACAGGAATGCGGAATGGTGGGCCCGCGCGCAGCAGGCAATGTGTTGCCCCCCTTCGCCGTCTGAGGCAAAGTGTACGTTCTACTTTTGTTGAACCTCTCAAAGACCAATGCAACCTCTCAAAGACCAATGCAAAGCGAACGCGGGCTGCCCAGATATGGTCCAGATTTTGGTGCGAAGTGCATTTCGTTCTTTCCAAGCGATTGTGGTGGGATTTTTTGTAATTGGGCACAGCAAGCACTGTGCCGGCACCCCCGCCGCGCGGCCGTGCATGATTCAGATTTTGGTGCCCAGTGCACTTCGTTTCTTGTGTGGCAGTTGTTCGGTTGTGTTGCCAGTCGGGTGGGGAGGGGGTGTTCATTCTTAAGAAAACAGTGATCGACTCCTCCCCGAAGGTGAAGGAGGTGGTTGGAAGAGGAAGCGCCCTAGACCGCGTACGCCCCATAGGGCTGGTGGCATTCCCCCATGAAGGGGGTGTGGCAACATGATTGAAGCATGTTGTATGTGCAAGCGTCGAGCAAGATGGTAAACTAGTTGTTTTGGAGATGATGCTTGGAGCACCTTCATGTTGGAGTCTAGTCCAGGGGGCGTTGGTTCGATGATCAGTTGGAGTCTAGGGCGCCCGGGGCATGGTAGCTGTCAGCGGCGCGGAGATGCTCATGGGAGCCAAGAAGAGTCTAGTCCATGGAAGCTCTGTGGGGTGTATGGGGCCCTGTGTGTCACGTCCAGGGGGGCCTTGGGAGTCTAGTCCAGGGAGGCTCCGTCAGGAAACTCGGGTGTCGATGGGTTGCCAAGTTTTGCCGGGCCAGGGGGGCTCCGTCAGGTCAAGGGTCGAGTCCAGGGGGGCCCTGGGAGTCCACTCTAGAAGGGTCCAGGGAGTCAAGTCTAGGGGACCCTGGGAGTCTAGTCCAGGGAGGCTCCGTCAGGAACCTCGGCAGTCGAGGGGTTGCCAAGTTTTGCTGGGCCAGGGGGGCGCCGTCCAGGGGGGCCCTGTGAGTATAGTCCTGGCCCTGGGAGTCTAGTCCATGGGTACTCTGTCAGGTGGATGGTCTTGTCCATGGGGGCCTGGGGGGCCTGGGAGTCTAGTCCAGGGGGGCACTGGGGGTCTAGTCCAGGGAGGCTCCGTCAGGTGGAGGATCTGGTCCAGGGGCCCTGGGAGTCTAGTCCAGGGGGGGCCCAGAGAGCCCAGTCCAGGGAGGCGCTGGGAGTCTAGTCCAGTGGTGTTCCGTCAGGTCTTGGTGGTCTAGCCCAGCAGAGCCCTGGGAGTCAAGTCCAGGGTGGCCCTGAGAGTCCAGATGGCCTGGGGAGTCTAGTCCAGGAGTGCACTGGGTGTCTAGTCCGAGGGGGGCTGGGAGTCTAGTCCACGGGGGCTCCGCAAGGTGGTGGGTCCCGTCGAGGGTGACCCTGGGAGTCTGGTCCTGAACTCTGGGCACCCACTCGCGCCCGAGGCTGGCCGTGGCCAGCAAAGGCACGCACTTCCTCCTTCAGCGTTGTGTTGGCTGTGGCAGCGTGTTGGCTGTGGCAGTTTGGCATCCCGTCGGCGGCGACCGCTCACCGAGCGAGCGAGGCGGAGGGCCGGTACGGCCGCGCTGCGCTGGTCGGCGGGCCTGCTAGAAGTTGAGTTCCCTCCTCCTTCCTCTCCAGGGGAGGGCGGAGGAAATCGGCGGCAAGCGATGGAGGGGGAGTCAGAAAGAGACGGCCTGCTCAGAAGGCGGCGGGGCGGGACTTCTCAGAAGCTCTCGCCCTTTCTGATCAGTTTTCCGTGTCTTCGGGGCGATCTTAGGAAACGTCTCTGAAGGCCGGGGGACTTCTGAGCCTTGTGAGAGGGCCCGCCTCTTCGCACTCCCCCCACTTGCTCGCCGCCGAGGAAAGAACGGAGGAGCTCCGTCCTCTGAGTTCACGACATGCAGGGAAGGGGCGGAGGACCTTCGTCCTCTGAATTCCAGGGGACGGAGGACCTCCGCCCTCTCATTTCACGTGCAGGGAAAGGGCCTGCGAGGCGGCGCGTCTGGCCGCGGCGGTGCGTGCTGTGTCGTTGGGGCTCGAGCTTGCGGGGCGCTTTGGCTGCAAAAGGGAAGGAGGGAGGGGAGGGACGATGAGGGATTCGGTGGCTTCGGCCCTTTGCTTGGTGACGTCTCCCCTCTGGGCGTCGCCCGCCTCGCCGCGAGCGCCTCCACCCCCGCGGGCCCCCGCGGGCCAACGCAGCAGGAAGTGGCGGCTGGCACGCTGATAGCTCGCTCTTGCGCGCCCGCGCGCGGGGGCCGAGCACGCAGGCGGGCTCTCCACCGGCGCAGGCGCGCGAAGAGCCCGCCAGCGAAAGGCTGCGAAAGACAAGCGCCGAAGGGCGACAAGGCATACCCTCAGAGGAGGAGCAGGTACCGACGATGCCGCTACCCTTCTTTCTCTTCTTCGCCTTTTTGGGGTCGCCTTGGAGGCCCCATGGCTTGAGTCGCTTCACAAGTGTAGTCCGAACGCAACCAGTAAGAGGTCCGGGGAGCTTCGGTGTTTCTTGGTTTCTCCAGAGGGGGACCCCTGGCACATCGCGTCTCCGCCCGCCCCCAACCCACTGCGCTTGTGTGGCCAGTGGGGCGTGCCGCGTGGGCAGAGCGGGCGGGGCGGTCCGTAACCCCGGGGGGGCGGAGGAGGCAAGCCAGCCCCCCAGCCCTTCAACCCAGCCTCCCGCCCGCGCCCCGGCCTGTGTGGCGGGCCGAGTGGGCAGGGCAGGAGGGAGGAGGGTCAGAGGAGGAACAGGTACCCGTACCGCTTCCCTTCCCTCGTTTCCCAGTTTTGGGCCTCCTCGGAGGCCCTCGTTGCCACCGCTAGATTCGCCTCGAAATTTCAGTCAGAACGCACCCTGACAGAGGTGCGGGGAGTAGCGGTATTAGTACCTTCTGTTTCCCCAGAGGGTGGAGGAAGAAGGAGGAGGATATGGAGGTCTTTGGTTGGCCCTGGGGGTCTTCCGCCCAGAGCGCCCGAAAACCTTGAAACGTTTGTCCTCGAACCTTACGGTGGCCTCGATCATCGATCGTCGAAGAAGGAAAGGCGGCACGAACGTAAACTTTCTGTGCTCCGCGCAGATTTCTAGGATTGGCGCTGGGACTTCTGGCGGGGCTCCTCCGGCGCCGCCCCTGGCGCGCGCGCCAGGGAGTGGGGGCCCGGCTCAGATCCAAGAAATCCGCAGGGACCGTCAACGACTACGCAGTGTCTTGTTCCCCTAGATTAAAAAAGTCGGGCCTGTCCCTCTACAGGAGGAATATTCAAAGATAGTAAAAAATAGTTTTGGGGCGATGTTTTCACTACTTTCGCCCATTCTGGTGCATTTTTGGAGTATTCTTAAGTTTCCGCCCGCAATCCCCCTGTAGGGGGGGCATGCCCGGCCCAACCCTAGATCCTCCGAACAGCCGCTCGGTGCCCGCGGCCCGCCTCGAGGCCGGCGAGCTCGACGCCATGCGGAAGCTCTTCGACGCCCGCGAGCGGCGGAAGAACGTCCGCCGGCGCGTCCTGAGCCTCACCGAGCGGGCGGCGCCGCGGCCTGGCGGGGGGCTTCTCAGAGGAGAGGCGAGACGAGGCATTGGCGTCAAGTCGGGCCTGTCCCTCTACAGGAGGCAAATTCAAAAATAGTCAGAAAATTGTCTGGGGACGGTTTTCAATTATTGTAGACTATGTTTGATATTGTTTGACTCATCTTTGTTTTCGTCCAACATCCCCCTGTAGGAGGACACGCCCGACCTAACAGTAGCGGCCCTCCCGGGCGCTATTCGCCCTCTTTGAGCCTTCTGGGGGCACCTCGTCGCCACGGCTGGATCCGCCTCGGAAGACGGGTCAGACTGGACCGTGCGATTTTGGGCGGATGCGGGTCGGGCGATCGAGGAGGCGCCGTCGTCTCAGTTGGCTCTCCTCCGAAGTTCGGGTCGACGAGAGGGGGGGTGAGTTGGGGTGGGTGCGGAACCTGCTGCATACCAAACTGCGTAAACAAAAACTTTCGGAGGTCCGCGCGGACTTATAGGATCCTGTCGTGGCGCCGCCTCTGGCGCGCTCCGCGCGCCAGGGAGGGGAGGGCCAGCGCCGATCTAAGAAATCCCTTCGGACCCTCTAACGTGTATGTTCATGACGTCTTTTCTTATTCCAGTGCGCCTGGCTTCGGATACGCCGCCAGGCACATTCTTTGATGCATTCCACCTCTGGCGATGGGAGCAGCCAGAACAGCAGACTGCATGCTGCTGGTTCGACAACATCTTCTTGGCCATCCCCCCCCCTCGTTCGCCCCCGAGAGTTGGGGACGGAAAGACTGGGGACGATGGCCAACAGCAGGATCAGATGTCTGCGACAACTTGCGACCCCTACCCCTGCGGATCCAAGCGACGCTTGAGTATCGGACATCTCCGGTGGGTTTCACTTAGGTTGTTGACGTCCTTCCAAGTCTGAACCCCGACCAGATTTTCAGACATGTGACTTGCTTGGTAGGTTTCGCATATGCCTGCCTCATTTAAGAAACAGCGAGTGTCCTTTCAAGGGTATACCCTTGCGTCCTTGCTTCTGGGCCCCTCCTAGCCCTGAGCCATGGACCAAGGGCCTCCAAGTTCGGTTTCAATTTGGGCGGCCAAGGACCTTGCATCCTTACCGCGCATCCTGATGATCTGGTCGCACTGTAGGGGGTCATCGAGGGAAAGGGGTTCTAAGTTGTTTCGCCGTTTGCGGCCTCCTAGGGGAAACCCGCTCAGGATGAACATTTCGTCTTTGGGAACGACCCAGGGTCCCCGTTTCCCTCAGGACCCCGATCCTTTGTGGCAATGCAGTCCTGGTCCACGAAAACAGGAGTTCCTGCCCATTCTGAGCAGGACTTGTTCTCCTCTTGCCGAAGGCGCTGTCCGTGCAAACGACGATCACCCGCCCAGCAGCGGTCGTTGCTGATTTTGGGCAGCGCTATCCGATGTGAATTCGCTCGGACGTGCCAGGAGGCGAAAGACACCCCCCCGTTCGGGAGATGGTCTGCAAACGCTCGGTCCATGTCGGGCCTCGGGGAGGCTTATCGTCGCCACGGCCCGACTCCTCGAAATTCGAGTCGAAACGAACCCCAGGGAGGTCGGCGGGGCGACTGTGAGGAGGAGCGTGCCCACCCCTCGAACGCCTTGGACGAAGAGGGACGGGGGCTCTCTTTCCAGTGATCGGTGTGCCGAGGCCGCTTCTGGGACACAAGACCGTTCAAAGAAGCTCGGGGAGGAGCAGCCGGTGCGGGGAGGAAGTCTGGAGGTCGGGTGGGCGGGGGCCGCGTATCCAGGAATATCACGTCTTTGGAAGTCTTGAGGTGGGGAAGGAGGAGCGGGACGAGGAGGAGGAGGAGGACAAGGAGAAGGAGGAGGAGGAGGAGGAGGAGGAGGAGGAGGTGGTGAAGGGGAAGGAGGATGAGGAGCAGGAGGAGGAGGGGGGGGAGAAGGAGGAGGAGGAGGAGGAGGAGGACGAGGAGGAGGAGGAGGAGGAGGAGGAGGAGGACAAGGAGGAGACGGAGCAGGAGGAGGAGGAGGAGGACACGGAGGAAACGGAGGGGGAGGAGGAGGAGGAGGAGGAGGGGGAGGAAGAGAAGTCAACCGATGATCGAGGTTGTTCGGCGGTTCCGGCTCATGGGGGAAGAGGAGGGAGGATGGAGGTGTAAGCGTTTCTTCCCCGTCTTCATACCCTCTCTCACTGCTGCCTGCTCCATCCCCCCTCCTCTTCCTCCGTGCTCCCTCCTCGTCCTCGTCGCCGATCGCCATCCTCCTCACTGCTTCTTCACATGGTTGTTGTGACTCTCACCGTTCTTCTTAAGTGCTGTCATTGTTTCTTGCTTCTTGTGCTACTCGTCATCGTTCATAACTAGTTTTCTTTTCCCCTTCCACCTACGACCACTGTGTGGGTTTGGGGGGAAAGAACCAACTTATGGCAACTGCGATTGTTGTGATGATGGAGATGCTGGTGATGCGCCCTCGAGTTGGCGACGACGCATGATGACGATGCTGCGTCGCGATGCGCTCTCTCTATCTCTCTACCAATATCACTTTCGATATCATTACCGGCCCTGCTCGACGGGACACCGACGGGACACCAATGGGACACCGACGGGACACCGACAGGACACCACTGCGGGACAACCGGCCAAGGCCCGCCCATCGGGGGAGATTCGGACAATTGTCTTGCACCGCCCTGGCAACAGCGGAGTCGTTCTTCTTGCCCGCCCACGCAGATTTGCCTCGCCCGCAGGCACGACAGGAACCCGAAGCCGAAACCGATGTCCTGGTGGGGGGCTCTCCGTTCCATGTCGATCTCACGCCTCTACCTCCAATCATTTTCCCCCGTTCCTCTCCCAGGGAGGTGGAGGAGAAGGACAGGGAGGCTTTTTGATAACTCTGGATGCGTCGTATTCTTTGAGGAGGTGTGCGGTTGCTTCCGTCGCTGGTCTTTGGGGTCTTCCAGGAAAGGTTCAACTCGGTTCTTGGGGATTGCGGCGGAGGGCGATGACTCGGAGGACGGTGCTGTAAGGGCGATCGTGATGGTGAGGGAGTGAGGGGGAATTGGAGGATGAGGACGAAAATGAGGCGGCTGAGGATGAGGCGGACGGGGGGGGCGTAGGAGCGTTTGGCTCTGGCCCTAGTCACGGCCTGGCGCTGTCAAGGGCCAGTGATGCGACGGACGACCGTGCGAGGGGCGAGAGGCGCATGAAAGTGGAAGGTCGCCCACACCAGTGGAGCCCATCCTCCAACGACTCCCGTCGTCGGCGGCCTGGTGTGTTTCTTGCCTCTTCTGGCTCGGGCGGCCGTGGTCGCCGAGGACAGGCGGAGGGCGATGGGGGGACGGACGGTGGAGCAGTGGGGGAGGACAGGGCGGCAGCGGGAGGAAGAGGAGCAGGGAGCAGGGACGAGGGGACGACAGGGAACATTCACCAGCCACGCGAACGGGGGGGCAGGGGGAAGGGGGACGGCTTCTTAGAAGCTCTCCTGCTTCTACAAGGAAGCTTCCCCCCCTCCCTCTACCCCCTCGTGTGCGCCGCCAAACTCAGGTTAGATGAGTTCGATGTCTGCGGAGCCTGCCGTCCTGTGCGGGTGGGCCCGCCTCCTAACATCCTCTTACTGCATGGGCGAGGGGCAGAGGGACCTCCAAGCTCGAAGCAGAGCCCCGTGGTTCCTGTGGGGTGTAGGCCATCGCACGTACGTTTACGCTGTAGGGCCCTCCCGTTGTTAGGGCGCACCCCTGGACAGTCCTTCTGAAAGCCTAAAGAAACCGGCTCGCCGAAATGTCTACCCGCAGACGCGGCACACTTCTGAACGGGGGTGGTGCCTCGCCGACATCGCTACAGAAATAGAGCTCATGTCCACCGGGGCCCTGGGCGAGCGCAGGGTGGTGGGGGCAGTGGCCTCCAGCAAACGCTCGCTGCCGCACCTGACCGTGCAAGCCGCACACTGCCACCGTTCGCCTGCCTTTGTGCCAGAGGTGGGCCCACCTGGGCTTGTCTGCATCCGCGGGGGCATATAGAGACATAGCACCTCGTCCATTCTGGTAGTGTTCAACCGTACCCATAGAGACATCCCCCAGAGTTGCCGCCTGACTCGTGCTCGTCAGGGCGCGCCCTGAAACGATGGCTGCAATCCCCCACGCCGCCATGGTGATATCAGTCGTGGATCCGACCCTGACGTCGGGCAGAATCCGTCAAGTGCGGGCGGGCAGGAAGAGACCGTGACATAATGTCCCCTCCCGCTGCGCAAAATTACACCCCCTAATCTTAGATTGAGGGGAAAGCGGAGGAGGATGAGGAGAAGGTTGACAACGAGGAGGTGGAACAGGTGAGGATAGCTAATTCTTGCTGATGGTGACGGGGGAGGGGCATGTACATCTAAAGCACGTTAGGAGAGAACGTAAGTTGACTATTGCGGTTCCCTGTTTCTCTTCAGGTGGAATATTTGGAGAAGGTTGTGTTCGAGGTCGCTTGGGCTGCCTGGGAGGGAGAGAGGATTTAAAAAGGAGGAGTCTGGTTTAGAATGGAGAGACGGAGGGAGGATCCGCCCGCCATGGAGCAATCCGCCGCTCCACCGCGAGGCAGGCTGTGTATATCGGCTGCGTCCTGGGCCTCCACAAGACGGAGCAGAGTTGTCTGGAGCAATGTGGTGCAGGGCGGAGGATTGGCAGTGGAACTTTGTGGGCCTGCATTTCGCGCCCCTTGCATGCATGCAACACACACACACACACACACGCATGCGCGTTGCGATCCCTTGCTTTCACGACGCAGGTGGCAGCCCCATCCGGCAAGGCGCTGGCTGCGAGGGAATGGGCGCTACAGCGGGCGGCGCCAAGGCCAAGGGAACGGGCAGTGCCAGCAGACTTATGGGTGTTGAGTGGAAGCTGCAGCATGCCCTGCTCCCCAGCACGTCGCCAAGGCATCCAAACCCAGGGCGCACCACTCCGAAAGCGTTACCCACGACGGACTCTTGCTGGATGAGAATGTCCGTCAACTTCACGCAGCAACGCCAGCCTTCGACGCGGGCTCAGGCTATGGTGGAGGGCGACGGCTATAAGAGTGGTGCTAATGGACCGTGACCAGCCTCGGCAGCAAGGACATCACGAAGGCGAAGACCACGTGAGAGGAACACCACTACGAAGGAGCGAATGGAACGAGAGGGCGGACAAAGTGGGACGGCCGCCGACAGGTCGCCGATCGATATGGCAAAGACGGGGACACTGTACTTCAGGATACGGCACAAGCTGGAGAGGCAGGACCTGCCGAGAGCACCACGGGTAGTCGCTCAACACCTCGAGGACGGCCTGCGTCGACTCCGGGCGTTGGTCACGTCCCGCCTGGCTGCGACGGCGTTCAGCACTGTAAGCAGGCGGTGCACTGTCAGCGTGGTTCGAAACGTTCGGTGCGCCACAACGCGGCGCTTCCAGGCAATTCTCTAAGGGCCGAGATCGACTGGCTGCTGTCAGTGGATCAGCGCACACGGCTCCCAGGGCAATGACGCGGCGCTGCTCAGGGGAGTTTAGGGGACTTGCGCAGCATTTGGGGCCACGAACGCAGCGAGGGCCCATGGAGATTTGGCCGCGAGAGAATCTTCAGCTATCTCTCCGGTGGTGCTGAACGTTCGGGGCGCGATTTGTATCGATTCCAAAGTCAGCTTCCACCAGAAACTGCCTCAACCACGGCGACTTTGGCGAGAACCCTGGCAGCCCAGGTTGACAGCTTAGAGGCAAGGCAAGAGCCCATTGGTGTAAGCACTGTCTGGGGAGTTGCACCGCGTAGATTGAGCCCCACACAGTGCACCACATGGCTTGCGCCACATATGTTGCCCCCCACACAGATGGCACCACACACCACATAACACGTTGGTTTCAGCACGTAGATCGCACCACATAGTTTGTGCCAGATGGTCTGTACCGTATATTCTGCGCCCCCCCACAGATTACATACCATATTATGCAACCTGCAACGCATTGGTTGCTCCACATCGGTTGCAATACATAGCCGCGTAGCTTGCACCCGCATGCATGTTGCACCTCATAGTTGCCGTCGTCATGATCACCACCTTCGTCATCTCGACCGTTCTTGTCGCCGCCCAGTTAGTTGTTGCCAACAAGTTGCGAGTGTGTTTGCGCGAGCACTGGAGGTGGTCACGCGGATGCGATCAAAATGAGTTGCACCACATGTATTGCACCCCATACGAAGGCACCACGCAGGATTGCAGGACGCACATCGAGAGTGCAATTCACCCACTGTTTGTCGTCCGCGCTGGCAAGCGTTTGTTCTTTTGGAGGTGATCTCCCGCGACGTCCGCAGACCTCTGGAGACCTTCAGGGTGGAGGGAGGAGATGAGGAAGACGATTCCATGGAGAAGGAGGAGGACGAGGAGAAGAAGATGCGAGACGGTGACGGAGATGGAATGCGGAGGAGCTGGAGATGATAAGCGTTTACGGCAGGCTTGTCTTCGCGTGATTCCGTGTAGGTTTGGTGCATTGTATGGGTACCTTCGCTCGTATGGGAGCGTGATTCTTTCGATTGAGAGAAAAAGAAGGATGGGGAGAAGGTATATCCAAATCGAGTCATCAATGAAACCGAAAACATTAGAGACATTGAAACAAATCTGGACCAAGCCACCGAAGCCCATTTGGGGCGGTCAAGCGGAGAAGCCAGAAGGCCTGGTCCGAGATGGTAGCCTGCCGGAGCTGAATTGCGCAGAGTGGGGGGCTTCCCGCGCGCCGCAGACCAAAAGTAATTGGTGGGGGCTCGCCCTGCACCATCTGTCCTGGAGGAGGAGGAGGTGGGGGAGGAGGAATAGGAGATGGGAACGAGCGGGGGCGCGTCGCCAGCCTGGTCGCCTTCCCCGCGCGAACGCGCAGGACGGCCACCGACTGCCCGTCCCAACGGCGCACCTGCCGTCCTTTGCTCGAGTGTAGCCCACGCGGGAAAGGCCCGCGCACCGCTTCCGCAGTTCATTTGTTTCGGCGGGGCGCTCCGGGGGAAAGTGAGGGGGCGGGCCTTCTCTGAAGGCTCGGATGTGCCCCGGCCTACGGAAACGTTTTCTAAGCCTTCCCCGACGACAGAGAATATCTCTCAGAAGGCTGGAGGGCTTTTGAATAGCACCGCCGCCTTCTGAGAAGGCCTTCTCCTTCTCACTTCCCCCCCAGGCGCGCCGCCGATGGTTGGCCACATGTTCTATCCAGCTGCGCACGAAGCACAGCGACCGCAGACACGTCGGTCGCTGTCATCTTCAAGACATCGCTGCCGTGCTCCTCGAGGCCTGCCATTTCGATGGGAGGGATCGGCACCTGAACACCGCTCCCAGCAAGGCTGTCAGCCTCCCTCCCATCAGTTGCGGCCACCACCAACAACACTCAGAGGAGGAACATGTATCGATACCGCTACCCTTGCCTCGTTTTCCCTTATGGGGCCTCCTGTGAGGCCCTCGCCGCCACCACTGAATTGGCTTCGAAATCGTGGTCAGAACGCACGCCGGGAGATGTTTTGGGAGTAGCGATGTCAGTACCTGCTTGTTCCCCCAACAACAAAGTCAGGCCGACCTATGCGGGGGCGTCCTCGTGAAAGAACCTCCCCCCTCTCCGAGCGACAATTAACCACATGGCTGCACTAAGGCGGCGCTCCGTCGGCATGCAGCAACCCAAATTCTGGAGAGACCTCAATGAGAGCTCAGTGTGCGTACCTCCTGTTGCGCTCTCGGCACCGTACCTCGCCAGCGTCGGGGAAGCGCACGAACTAATGTTGACTCTGCGACAACATAGCAGCATGAGTTCGGACCGCCAGCTGCTCTTGTCTCGGTTTGCTCCATGGCCCGGAGGACGAGGAAGAGAAGAAGGAGGAGGAGGAGTACAGGGAAGAAGAAGAGCAAGAAAAGGAGGACATTGAAAGAGAGACGAATAATGAGGCGACCTGCAGCCCATGTGGCATGAAGGTCACCAGCGCCGGCCTCCAAAACATTTACGAAGTCTCGGAAGCTTTTCCCCGGCTGCCTGGGAAAGCCCGCGACGGCTGCAATCGTTGGCGGAATGCGCTCCAAAGAGAGGAGGAGGAGGGAGAGGAGGTAGAGGAGGAAGAGGAGGAGGAGGAGGAGGAGGAGGAGGAGGAGGAGGAGGAGGAGGAGGGAGGGAGGAGGGAGCAGGGAGGAGGAGGAGGAGTGAGGAGGAGGAGGAGGAGGAGGAGGAGGGAGGAGGAGCAGGAGGAGAGGAGGAGGAGGAGGGAGGAGGAGGAGAGGAGGAGGAGGAGGAGGAGGAGGAGGAGGAGGAGGAGGAGGAGAAGAAGAAGCGCACTCCAATCCCGAGGCTGCGCGCAGGCGGCAGGCGAGAGAGGCGCAGCCAGGAGGGGCTAGCGGAGCCGCTGCCGGCGCTAGTGGCGGCGCCGCGAGAGGCTTGGCGGGCGAGGGAGTCCTGTCGTCGTTGATCGATCTGTCGATCGAGGTATGTTGATTGCTTTTGTTGTTCTCACCTATACGACCAACCACCCTTCGGGTGATCAAGAGGTTGTGGCGGGGAGCCGGCTGATGACAACTGCGATGGGACACCATCGGGACACCCTGGGCACAAACTGCCACCATCGGGACACCATCGGCACACCATCGGGACACCATTGTGCTCCATCCATCCACAATTTGTCTACCGATCTCACTATCGGCCTCACTATCGGTCCCGCGATCGATCTCACTGTCGATCTCCGATCCCACTATGGATCTAACTATCTGAAGTTCGATCTCACTTTCGGTTTCACTCTTGGTGTCACGATATGTTGCGCTGTCGATCCCACTGTCGATCTCACTATCTGTCTGTCGATCCCAATAGCTGTCTCACAATCGATCTGTCGGTCTCACTATCGACCGCACTTCCGCGCGATTGGTATATGTATATACATATATGTATATAAAAATGATCATATTACTCAAGATATTAGTGTCGGCACCTATCGGTCTCATTATCCATTTAAAATTGATCTAACTCCTATCTGATGGTCTTCGGTCCATCCAGCCACCGTGCTTCGGTTGTTGGTATGAAGCCTGTTGGATGTTTGTTGGGGTCTCGTGGGGGGCCTCTCTGGGGCCTTTTAGATGCGGTTTGGAGACCTCTTAGGGGCCTACTCCGTAGCCATTTTGGCTCAGGCTGGTTCTTCCCCTTTCCGTCCGGCGCGGGGGCATGGCGGCTGCGCCGGCCGGCGGACGAGCTGAAGGAGAAGGCTGCGGGGGGCCGCCCGCCGAAAGGCGATGGCGGCGTGCGGCGCGGCGAGCGGCCGAGGCGGCAGCGCTGGGGCCTACCGCCGCCCGCCGTGCGGCGCGGGCGTGAGCTCGTGCGGCCTGCGAAGCGGCCCTGCGTGCGGCCGTGGGCGCAGGCAGCGCCCCTGGCTCGTGGCGCGATCGGGAGCTTGCCTCTCGGCCGGCGTTGCGGTGCCGTGCGGTTGGGTGCCGGGTGCCTGGCGCGGCCGGGCGGCGGCGCAACGCAGCGCAGCATGCGGTGCGTGCGCCCACGGGCGGCTTCGCCACGGCTTTTGCGTGGGAGCCAGCGTGGGCCGCGGCTGGGCATGCAGGGCGCCCCGAGCGTGCAGGGCGCCCCGAGCGTGCAGGGCGCCCCGAGCGTGCAGGGCGTGGAGGGCGAGCAGGGGCAGTGGGCTTTGGCGCCGCTCAGCGTGGACTGGGAGGCGAAGTTGGAGCCCGGCGTCACCAGCTGCAGCGAGGCGCTCGAGAGGGGGGGGAAGGTTATCCACGTTGCCGAGCTCGAGTCGAGGCTGCCCAGCATGGCGGATGAGGCCTCAGATGAGGGTAGTGAAGGTGCTGACGGTAGAGCACGTCGAGAGCATCTTCCACGCGAGACAGAGCGGGATGGACCCCCAGAGCCCCGCGGCGTCGGAGAGGGCGAGGGGGAAGAAGCCGAGCTGATCGAGGTGGCGTCGATGGGCGTCGTGGACGTGGACTCGGAGGCCGAGCTGATCGAGGCGTCGTTGGGCGTCGTGGACGTGGGCTCGGGGGAGGCTTCGGAGGGCGAGGTGGTCGCGGGAGGCTCCGACTGGCTGGCTCCAGGTGTCTGGCAAACGCGAGACCATGTAGAGGAGGCGGAGGCTTTTGCCGAGGGTCTGGCAGCTGGATGGCGCCTGGCTGGACGGGGCGGCGCCGCGGCGGAGAGCTCGGAGGCGGCCCCCACGGCGGCTGTGGCTGTAAGCCAGGCGTTGTGGTGGAGGCAGAGACGGCGCCAGAGTCAAGCAGAGGCGAAGCGTCCTGGCTCGCCTTTAGCCCTACCAAACAATGTTCTAAGAACCCTTTGTGGTTTCCACGAAATGTTCTTATAACATTTCTGGCTGGGGCTGTCTCGTTTCAACACATAAGGCTTATGTTATAAGAACATTGTTTATGTTCTTAGAACATCTGGGGGTTCTAATAACATTTCGTGGTAGGACGATAGAACTGCCGGGACGGTCGGTCCCTGCTCAACAGAGGAGGATCCTTCGGTGCTGGAAGAACCGTGCGTGCGCGGTGATACGGCAGTTAGTCGACCTGAAGGGAGAGCTGGGCGGCGTTCTCAGCATATCGACCTGGGGGTGACGGCGCCGCGGCAGGTGCTGAGACCTGAGTCGTGCCTTGTGGCGGGATCCGCTGGGGGGAGTGGGGGAAGAGAAAAAACAAACCCGCCTCTTGGGGGCCTACTGGGCGCCTCTTGAGGCCTCCTAGGCGCCTTTTTGGGCCTCCTGGGCGCCTCTTAGGGCCTCCTGGGCACCTCTTCGGGCGGAAGGCTCGGATGTTTCGGTCCGTGTTCCCTCCCTCTCTTGGGCCCCTTTCTGGGCAACTTTGGGGCCCTCTTGGGCCGTCTTGGGCGCCTCTTGGGGCGCTCTTAGGCCGTCTTGGGGCCCTCTTGGAGTTGGCAGTTTTGGGGCAGTTTTGGGGGCCACTTGGGCCGTCTTGGAACGTCGGAATGCCGAAATGACGAGAGCACCACACTCGTTCAAAAACCTAGAAAGACCATCACTTACGTTCGCCTCTTGAGGCTCTCTTGGGAGGCCTCTTGGAGGCATTTTGGGGCGTCTTGGAGGCCTCATCCGCCATCCTGAGGCCATCTTGTTCGTCTATGAACAATCTTTCGGCCACTCCGGGCCTCTCTTGGACCGTCTTGGGGGTCTTGTGGGGCCCTCTTGGCCCGCCTTCGGACCCTCCTGGACACGATCAGGGAACCGCGGCAAGGCCCGCCAACTTTGAGAATGTGAGCTTGGGGCCCCTTGGAGACTCGTCAGGTCTGCGGACTGAGGCTCCGGGGATTAGACGGGGGACCTCAGGACGCGCCCACTACATGCCCAGAGGCACGGTGGCAGGTACATCTTACCGAGAGGTCTCACAATCCATCGACCTCATGATTGCTCGATCGATCTCACGGAACACCGATCAGGACGCCATCGGAATACCATCGCGACACCATCGCGTCACCATCGAAACACCATCGGCACACCATCGTGGCACCATCTGGACACCATCGGGACACCTTCGAAGTACCATAGGGACAACAAAGGGGCACCATCGGGGAACCATCGGGACACCGTCTGAATGAAGAACGCGTCAACACCATCGGGACACCATAGGGACATCATCGGGACAGCATCGGAACAACATCAGGGAACCATTGGTGCTCCATCGTGGTACCATCGGGCTTTTTGACTGCACTTGGCTCGTTGCAAGTAGCTTGAGCTGGGCGGCCGAGGTCGGCCAGGCGGCAGACAGAGCCCGCCTAGCGGGCACAACAAAGGATCTCCGCTCCTGGTCCGTCCGCAGGCAAAAGCGATTCTTCGCCATTGGACCTGCATGATGGGCGGGGGAGGTATTGGTACCGAAGGGGAGGGAGGGGGAATAATATGAGGAGAAGGGATCGGTGCCGTGCGAGAATCACTGAGCGCGCCATCTAGGCGTTGCCCTATGCGGGCAGCGCTGAACGACCGACGAGCAGCAAAGCTGGCCTCAGGAACGGCCACCTGGGAGCATGGCTTAGCCATGGAAGTGAGCGGGATGAGTAGGAAGAGGGCCAAAATGGCATTGCCGCGCTGTAGGGCGGCCGTGGCGGAGCGGACCAGGAGGGAGAGGCTGGCGTTGCCGCCAAGAGACTAGGAAGCCCCATCGGTAACGCACGTGACCGGAAAGGGGGCAGGTGAGAGAGCGCCTGTGCTGTGCTTGGCGTCTTGGTGCAAACGTGGAAAGAGGGGAGGGATGAACATATGGGAGGGAGAGGGATTATCTTGTCCAGCCAAGCAACACTAGGGCGCGGTAGCTGTCCGTAGAGGTACGCACCTCTGATGGGCAGCATTAGCCGAGAGTTACTCGGCAGGTGGGATGTGCTGAGGCGGCATCTTTGCTTGCCGCAGTATCGACTCAGCCGTGGCGAGTCTGCGAATTGCGCTGTGAGCATTGAGCCGACCGCTCTTATGGTAGCGTGGCTGCTTAAAAGTGTCGCTTTGGCCTGGCCGCAATGTTGCGGCAAGAATGTGTGAAGCTAGAGACTGGTGCTGGCTACAGCTCTTGCAGCTGGCCCTCGGGATGGGGCTAAAGAAAAGAACTGAAGGGCCCGCTGCGACGAGACTGCAGGACGGCTCGGCCGACCTTAAATACAAAAGTGGGACAAAATGGGGACACCATCTGGACATCATCGGGACACCCTTGCGCCACAGCTGGCCAACTGGGCGGAGGATCATTTGGCCTGGTCTCGCCCTAGCAACGGCGACACCATCGAGACAACCTTAGCAACGGCGACACCATCGAAACATCGTCGGGGCTCCATCGGGACGTCATCGGGACATTCCTGGACCACCGCCGGCCAGTCGGGCGGATAATCAGTTGGCCCGGTTTCGCACTAGCAACGGCGGGCTTATTCATCTCGGCCACCCACGCAGCTTCGGTTCGCATGTAGTCGCAGGTTGGGGGATGAGATCGAAGTGATACGGAGACCCCCCACTGGAAAATCGGTTTCGGTTTCGCGCCGCGCGCGCGGTCGGGCAAGGCGAAGCTTTGTGGGCGGGCGGGCAGAATGAACTCGCCGTTGCTAGGGTCAAACTGGGCCACATGTTTCCCCCCCCTTCAGGTTGGCCAGCGGTAGCCCGGGGGTGTCGCCCCGGTTGGCCAGCGGCGGCCCAATGGTGTCCCAGTGGTGCCCTGATGGTGCCACGATGGTGTCCCGATTGTGTCCCGATGGTGATGCGATGGTGTCCCGATGGTGTCCCGATGGTGTGCTGATGGTGTCCCGATGGCGTCTCGATGGTGTCCCGATGGTACCCTCGTGGTGCCCCCGATGGTGTTCCGATGGTGCCCCGATGGTCTCCGATGGTGTTCGATGGAGCCCCCATGGTGTTCCAATGCGGTCCCGATGGTGTCCCAATGGTGTCCCAATTTTGTCCCAATGGTGTCTGGACGGTGTGTCGATGGTATCCAAGCGGTTTCCAGGTGGCGTCCCAATGACGCCCCGATGATGACCCAATCGTGTCCCGATGGTACCCCGATGGTGTCCGGATGGTGTCCCGATGGTGCCCCCATTGTGCCCCGATGGTGTCAGAATTGTGTTCCGATTATGTCCCGATGGTGTTCCGATGGTGTCCCGATGGGAGAGCAGGCCAATATGGTGGTACACTTTTTGGCTTTTCTTCCGAGAACGAAAATGATGAAGATGATGAGATATATGGTGAGAATGCGGATGACGACGGTGATGATGATGATGATGATGATGCTGATGATGATGATGATGATGATGATGATGATGATTACGATGGTGATGATGCTGGTGATGCTGATGATGCTGATGGCACTGACGACGACGATGAAAATGACAATGATAGCACTTAAACCAGGAATGTTCAGGATTCCTGTCTCACACGGGGTTTGGCGGAATAGCGTAAGGTCCGTGAACGCGGTGGTTGTTTCACCCACCCCCCGCATGTCGGCTAACTCCCCCTGGCTAACGAGCGGGTCTGGGGCGCGTCGGCCCGACGGCCCCAAGTCAGGCTTGCGGATCGTCTTCATCGCCGCAGGTTTCTTGGTGATCTTAGGGGTGCACGGGTACTTGCCTTTCTTCTGCTTCTTTAGGGTGATGATCTTGTGCCTGTTCAAGTGATCGATGTCGTGCGCGTCCACAAGCTCGTTGTGCTTGCGACAGAAGCACATCGCAATGAGTTGGTGCGGCGACGGCCGCATTTCGTAGAACGTCCTGGCGTACCCGCGGAAACACGAGAAGAGTTGTTCTGCGGTTGCTGCCTTGATCTGGTCACCCGCCTCTTCAGCCGCAAGGCCTTCAAGGAGTTGCGCGGGCAGGTCGCCACATGCCCGCGCGCGTGGGATTTATCCACTCTGAAGCACTTCAGCTGGTCGAAGTCGCGGCGCTTCTGCACGCTCGGCATGAAGGCGCACGCTCGGTCCATGATCGACGCGTTGCAGCGGGGGTCAAACGGCAGAACCATCGCCAGCCCCGTGTTCAGCACCTCGTTGTTATCGGGTTGGACTTGCTCGCTAACGGCTGCGATGTGCTGCGAGGCTGGGTCGACGACCGTGAGCCAGCCGTGCGTGCGCGTGTCCTCCCAAGTCGCCGGAGTCGACCTACTCTTAGCGCGCCCTGCCCTCACCTTTTCGTGGCCGCGCGCGACCAGCTTGTGCGCCCCGTCGCGCTCCGCGAGCACGTGGTTGCGCACTCGTTCTCGTGCAAGTGGTTGCTGCACTTCGCGAGCACGTCGTGGTGCAGCCCTCCGCCGATGACGATGTTCTGTTCAGGCGTTGGCCAATCGGCTCGAACTCCTGCATGCACACGTGGTAAAACATAACATCGTTGAGCGGCTTGTGGAAGTTGGCAACGGCGTCGTCAGAACCGCGCGCCTGCTTGCGCGACCTAGATGCGCTCGAGGACGGCAGGAAACCCCGAAACAAAAAGACATTCATGGTACTTCAAGAACTTCAGGGTGAACGCTCGCCCCGCAGAGACGAGGGAATACCGCCCCGCAGGTCGGAAACTCCGCGGGCGTCGACGTGCCCGTGCGGCGCAGCGCGCAAGTTGCAAATGAGTGGTTCGGCAGTGTCGATGCTGGCAAAGTTTTGCCCCGCGCGTAATATCAGACACTCCGTGCAGATCAACTACGAGCGCAGGCGTGTTGCGGAACCGCGTGAGGTTGCCCCCGCAGATGCAGTTGGTCAAGTGGGCCTTCACGCAGCTAGGCAGGGGCTGCGGCGGCACGCTTGCTGGCTTCTTGCGAACTTTCACCATGGTGGACGCAGGCGCGCCTGATCCCCTGGCGCGCAGCAGCGTCTAAGCAGTCATGCGACGAGTACCGAACTGGATTGCCCGTGGTCCCTCGACGGCGTCTGCAACATCCGCCACATACATCGTGCACGGGGATATCCGCAACACTAAAGGCAGCATGTCTGGCGCAGTTACCTGGCGCCGGGTAAATATCCCTCGCGCCGGCGCCCGCAGTGCGCATCGAGCCGCGCCAGATCCAGCTCCACCTGACACGCCTGGAACTCGAGGCAACGACCATGCATGTTGGCATACGCTTGCGCGATGGACGCCGCCCCACCAAGCCACTCCGACAAATTCCCGTGCAAATGCGCAATTGCGGCAACCGTTTTGTCAGCTCCTTTGGTGGTATCTTCAACGGGGGGCGTTTGGTGCCCCGT